CCTATCAATGCTTCTCCTCCTCCATCCACACCCTTCCTCTGTCTCTAAAACAAATAAAACTATATCCTCAGGTGAGAATTTTTTAAAAAGCAAACTGTAATAAAAAAAGAAAAATGTATCTCCCCTCAAAAAAATGCCAGGCCCAGATAGCTTCACTGATGAATTCAACCAAATATTTAAAGAATAATGAATACTAATTCTCCACAAACTCTTCCAATAATGAAAGAAGAGCGATCATTTCCAACTCATTCCATGGGGTCAGTATTACCCTGATGTCAAAGTCAAACAAAGACATCCCAAGAAAACTTCGAATCAGTATCAATTAGAAATAAAACTCAGCAAAATGCTAGCAAGACGAATCCAGAAACACATAAAAAAGGTTATCCACACTGACAGAGTGGGGCTTATTCTAGGAACACAAAGTTAGTTTAACACCCAAATCAATTAATGTAAAAAATAAACAACCTGTATATTCTTTAAAGCAGCGGTTTTCAACCTTTTTCAACACATGGCACACATAAACTACTAAAATTCTGCAGCACACCAAAAAAATATATTATATTTTTTGCTTGACCAAAAAATAGGTATAATTTTGATTGATCCACACTGGATGGCTACTGTTGTGTTGGCCACTGTCATTTTTTAATTTGACAATCTAAGGGGAAAGAGGTCAGTACCCCTAACTAGTCAGATATTGTACGTTTAAAAAAATTCTTGCAGCACAGCTTTAAAGTATTAATTAAGTTTGATACAGGACAAAATCTGATTCTTGTGAGTCTTAACTGACATTCTAAAATTTGTGTTAGGTCAAGGTCCTATGAAAAGTTTTACTATTGCCTGGCTGGTGCGGATCAGTGTTTGAGCATCGACCCATGTACTGAGAGGTCCCAGGTTAATTCTTGGTCAGGGCACAGTGCCCGGGTTCCAGGCTCGATCGCCTGTAGGGGGCGGGCAGGAGGCAGCTGATCAATGTTTCTCTCTCACTCATGTCTCTCTCTCTCCCTTTCCCTTACTCTCACTCTAAATAAAAACATTTTTTTAAAAGTTTTACTATTAATAAGTAATTTTTCATTGAACAATGTTAAAACACAAACAAATTTCTGTATTTGCTTCTATCACTCCCAGAACAAATCTATAGGAAAAATGAGACTAACTGACTCTGTGATTTGTTATGTTCTAAGCTTTTTGGGGGCTTGCTTGTATCTTTAGTCCTAACAATAATATGAAAGTAGTTGTAACTATTTTAATTTAATAAGAATAAAGAGAAGGAAAAAAAAATCAAAGATGATGACATATCATACCAATAAAAGAAATGATCATTTCAATAAAAGCAAAATATATATATATATATATATATATATATATATATGACAATATCCCACTCCCCTTTATGATAAAAATGTTCAACGAACTAGATATGGAAGGAACTTCCTATATCTGATAGAGAGCACCTATAAAAAAAAACCATGGCTGACATGTCGTGGTGAGACTGGAAGCTTTCCTCTAAGATCAAGAACAAGATGAGGATATCCATTCTCACTATGTCTAGTCAACACTGTTGGAGGTGCTAGCCAGTGCAATTAGGCAAGAAAAAAATAAATAAAGGCATCCAGACTGAAAAGAAAAAAACAACTATTTCTATTTGCAGGTGACATTTTGAATACATAAAATCCTAAGGAATTCACTAAAAAACTGTAAGAATTAGTAAATGAGCTGAACGAGGTTGAAGGTATCAAGATCAATATTCAAAAATTAATTGTATTTCTATCACTTGCAATTAAGAATCTGAAAAGAAGAAAACATTTTACTTAAATTTTTTTAAAAAAATTAATGCTTTTAATTTAAATATTAGAAAAAATGCCAAACTTAAACTCTGAAAACCATAAAATATCATTGAAAGAAATTAAAGATCTATCGTATTTATTTATTTATTTAATCCTCACTGGAGGACATTTTTTATCTTCAGATAGAGCGGGAGGGAGAAAGGAAGAGAAAGAGAAACACTGATGTGAGAGAGACACATCAACTAGCTGCCACCCTCACAATCCCAACTGGGGCTGGGGACAAATTGCAACGAAGGTATGTGCCCTTAGTGGGAACCGAACCCGGGACTCTCTAGTCCACGGGCCGATGCTCTAACCACTGAGAAAATCCGGCCAGGGCAAGAAGATCTAAATAAACAGAAAGGCATCTCATGTCCATGAATCAGGGAATATTAGGATGGCAATACCCCAAAACTGACCTAGAGATTCAACACAATCTCTACAAAAATTCAAGATGGCTCTTTGCAGATACTGACAAGCTCATCCTAAAATTCTTAAGGAAACTCAAGGGTCACAAAATAGCCTAAATTATCTTGAAACAAAAGAACAAAGTAGGAGTACTTCCCAATTTCAAAATTTATTACAAAGCTATAGTAATCAACACAGTGTAATACTGGCATAAGGATAAACATACAAATCAATGAAATACAATCGAGTCCAGAAAGGAACCTTCATATTTATGGCCAAATGATTTTTGGTAAGGGTGACAAAACAATTCAATGGGGAAACAACGGTCTCTTCAACAAATGCCACTGGGACAACTGGGTATCCTCATGTAAAAGAATGAAGCCAAACCCCTATCTCACACCACATATAAAAATTAGTCCGAAATGAATCAAAGACTTAGGAATAAACATAAGTGTAAATTTTCATGACTTTGGATTAACAATGTTTCTTAGGTACACACCCAAGAGAAGTGAAAACATTATGACCGCACAAAACCTTTTACATGCATGATAATGGCAGCATTTTCATAATAGCCAAAAATGGAAACAGTCCAAATGGATTAAAATGAAATGCAGTATATCCACACAATGGCAAAGCATTTGGCAATAAAAAGGAATGAATGTCTGAACACATTATAAAGTATGGATAAATCTTGACAACATTATGCTAAGTGAAAGAACCCAGTCACAAAAGACCATGCATGGTATGATTCTGTCTACATGAAATGTCCACGGTAGGTAAATCTATAAAGACAGAAAGTAAAAAGTAGTTGCCTAGAGTTGAGGGGGATGGGGAAAGTTGAAGACTGGCTGCTGAAAGGTACAGTTTTACTAGGGGTGATGAAGATGGTCTACATTTAAACTGTAGTAATGGCTACACAACTCTGTGGACAGACTAAAAACCAATGAAGTGTGTACTCTTTAGATGGTATGTGAAGTGTGTCTCAATAAACAAAAAAGAAAACAGAAAAAATAAGTAAGCAGCAAAGGAAACTGTGTCAAGAGATTTAGATGTGCTGAGATACTGAGACTGTATTTCTCTGAAAAATAAGAATCTGTACTGACCGTTGTGCCAAGATGCTCATTTTCCCCTAATCTCTTTAAAGGATGCATGTTATTAAATGCAGATAGAGAACTTATTTAGTTTTGGTCCTTTTCTTCAGTTCTTTAAAAAAAATTTTCTGAGTATACAAACACTAATTACAAATACGTCATTTTCTTCAATTCTTCTTGAAAATAATAATGTTTTGAGTATGTAGCTAAAAATTATGTATACCTTCTGGATACTGTCAGATGTCCATTATCTATGAAATGAGGCAGATATGAAGAAAGAACACGAGATTCAAAGTTTGAAGTTTTAGATATTTTCACTCTATCCATATGTATACATTTAAACATAATGCTTACTCTTTTTGTGCCTCAGTTTCCTCTTCTAAAAATGGAGCAACACCTACACTGACCTTTGATAAAATTACTGTTATAAAAATACTGGTTTCTTAATATCCCTAAATACTGTTCAGATTACCATACGATTAAAAAATAGGATAGCAGCTATGAGGTCCATAAGTCCAAGTCACCCAGACCTACAAAGGCAATAAGAAATCCTTCTAGCTTCGTCAAACATGTTGGTCTGGTGACTTAAAGAGATACTGAAGTACCATTTACAAATAACTAGGAAAGGTATAAAAAAAGATGAGAAATAAACTAAAATGCCTATAAACACAAAATAATTAAAGTAATTATATATTTAAAATCACATAAAATGTTAAATCTATACAAAAATGTTTTTTTTCCATTAAATATAAATCACCATGGGATGTGATACATTGCTTTTTTAAAAACTGGAACAATCTTCAAAAATTGTTAAATTGTTAAATTCTTTTGCTAGCTATTCTCGTAGGACTAGCAAAAAAGTAATATTGCCCTGGCCGGTTTGGCTCAGCAGTTAGAGCGTCTGCCTGCGGTCCGGAGAGACCCGGGTTCGGTTCCCGCTAAGGGCATGGACCTCGGTTGCAGTCTGTCCCCGGCCCTGGTTGGTCATGCGGGTGGCAGCCACTCGATGTGGCCCTTTCACATTGATGTTTCCCTCTCTCTCTCTTCCTCTCTCTCCCTCCCACTCTGTCTGTACAAAAAATGGAAAAATGTCCTCGGATGAGGATTAAAAAAAAAAAGTAATATTGATTATTACTACTTTTACCAGGATTATAATAATTCAAGAGTGGTATGTGATAGCATTCCAACCTATTCTCAAATCACTTAGTACATGCCCTTTGAAAATTTAAATATATAGTTAAGTTGATAGAAACACTGGGCTTAGGTTTACTTATAGGATTTCCTATGAACCTGACTATATTTCCATTACCATTTGTTTTATCATTGTGTGAAAAAGCTGAATTTAAGACTACTCTACAGGATAAAAGTTTCCAGATTGCGTATGAGCATTCACAGTGTCTCTTATGACCTGAAGTCAAGGAAAGTATCCATTGTAGCTAAAATCTAAAACTCATCATACTTTATTATGCTTCAAATACAGAGTAGCATCTCTCTTTGAAATCATAGCTTCAACTTGCAAAGTATATAGTGGCATTTTTTCTTATTCTGACAGTTTGATTAAAATTCACACAGAGGAAAAAAAAATTTACACAGAGCTAAAGGGCTCAGGCTGAATAACAGTGATTTCAAAACCTAAAACTTTACAGCAATTACTTTTCAACAGTGTAATTGTACTTACATCAATATCCTCTTGTGTAAAAGTTTCTGGGTCTTCTCCCATCATGTTGGCTAAATGTCTCTTTCCTATGTTGAACTCCTCAATCTGCTTTTTAATGAAATCCACTGTGTAGGTTTCACGTCTCAAGGCTGCAACATTTTTCTTTGTTGTTACAACTGCCGTATGTCTTCGCCTTAATATCTTAACAGAAAATATAAATGGGAAGAAAAAAAAATTTACATTAAACAGTAATCTCATAGGCCATTCTCTCTAAATAAAATAAGATATTCAAGTAGTTGTCTTTTTATTATGGTACTCAGTTGGCAGGAGTCTGCAAACAAGGTAAAAGGCTAGTTAAGAAAGCTGTCAGAATTGTCCCCTGCTCAAAAGCTTGCTTTTTAAAGCCTGTGCTTACAAAGTACTTTAAACTACTAGCATCTCAACACATTAAAAACAAAAATACAACAAACATCTGTATCTGATATCAATCTATCAACTTCAGCTACGTGTGATATTTGACACACAAGAATGAATAATGACTGTGCCACTCCCTTAAAACGAAGCAAAGGCATGACCAGCAGCCGGAAACTAGCAAGCAGAAGTGGGAGTAAAGGGTCATGTACTTGGAAGCAGCACCCTTAGACTACAGGCACTCACCACATTGAGGCTGCAAAAACAGCCTACCTTTAAATGCCTTAAAATAATAGGTTTAGCTTAGTTTGAAACTTTATTCCATGGTCCTTGTTTTAAGCTGACACAATAAAGAAACTGCTTCACTAAATAGCAAGACGATTTCTTTTTTGTTAATCCTCACCCTAGGGTATTTTTCCATTGATTTTGAGGGAGGGAGAGAGAAAAACATCGATGTGAGAGACACATCAATTGTTGGCCTCCTGCATGACCCAGACCTGCAACCCTTTGGTTCCAAGACCAACACTAACTGCTAAGGCAAACTGGCCAGGACAAGATGATTTCTTAGTATTAATTTGGTTCAATATGCTATGTAGGAATAAGGATTCTTTCATATCCTTTTGAACTATGAGTAATGATATCACACTTGCTGTTGTGGATCCTTTTATGCTGTAGCACTAGGAATTTCCCCCCAAGGCATAATATTTCACCTGCAATAAAGGAAAAGAACCTGAAAAACGTTTTTGGTTTTTTTTATCCTCACCCGAGGACATTTTTCCATTTTTTGTTCAGATAGAGCGGGAGGGAGAGAGAGGAAGAGAGAGAGAGAGAAACATCGATGTGAAGGGACACATCGAGTGGCTGCCACCCGCACGACCAACCAGGGCTGGGGACAAACTGCAACCGAGGTACGTGCCCTTAGCGGGAACTGAACCCGGGTCTCTCTGGACCGCAGGCCAACGCTCTAACCGCTGAGCCAAACCAGCCAGGGCTGTTGCAACCCTTTTAAACTCCCATTTGCACTTCCCTGCAATATCACTGCCCATATTTTTTATTTAAATTAAGTCATTTTAGATTTTATTCTTTTGACTCAATCCAATTTTTAAAAAAATTAATTTGTTAGAAACAGAGGAAGGAAGAGATAGAAACACTGATCAGCTGCCTCCTGCATGCCCCTTACTGGAGATCGAATCCTTATCCGGAATTGAACTGGGACCTCTCAGTCTATGGGACAATACTCAGTTGACTGAGCCACACTAGCCGGGCTGTATTTTTTTTTTTTTTTTTTTTTTTAATATATAAGACTATCCAGTTTAAAGGGGCTTTAATAGATATTCTATCTTATTTTATCTTTACATATTTTTATGCTTCCTTCCTGTTTTTTCTTTTGCTATATGGTCTATACTTTTAAAAATGTATCTTTTAATCTGGCAATTTAGACAGCATACAGCCTGTTTTTATTTTACTAGTTTTTATCCATATGTCTCTAATAAAATGTTTACATGTAGTTCTCCTACCAACTTCAGCAATAAAGCAATGCCCACTGAATTCTCACCTACTTGCTCTGTTCTCTTTTTAAAAAACAGTAATTCTCTGTTATTCTGTCCTTCATATATATCAGCCTTATTTCTTGTCCCTTTTTCCTATATTCTGTATGATTTTTAACTTTTATTTCATGGGTTTGTTTTTTCTTCCTTTTTCTGCGGTGGCTCTGAGTTTTTAGGTTGTTTTTTTTTTTGGTACGTGCCCCTAGCAGGAACCGAACCCGGGACTCTGGTCCACAGACCGATGCTCCAATCGCTGAGCCAAACCGGCTAGGGCAGTTTTTAGTTTCTTATATCATCAGTCTATCTTCAAAACTCTTTCCTTAAGTTTCTTTTAATCCTATCTTCGTGTCTTACCGTTTTTAACAGAACTCTTCCACATCCAACCTTTTAATAAATGTGCTTGGTAATGTGAAGCAGTTACAATAATTCTTCCATTTTGTTGAGTAACATCCCTTTATATTTTCCTCCTCTCTCTCTCACACCACTCCCTTTCTTCTTTTGTTCCTACATTTTAGCATCATCTCAATTAAAAGAGTTGATTATTGGCTTAAAAACTCATTTCTTCACTTGATTTAAAATTACTTTATGTCTGCCTATATTCTCCAGAGTTTGTGACATGAGGAGGCAGTTTTTGTACTTTTAACATAAGTGAGACATAAACAATATCTGCAAAAGGTTTATTGTTGTTCACAAAGGGCCTTTCCTTTAACATGCTCCTAATGTGCTATTTTTCAGACAACCGCTTTAGGATCTTTAGAATCCTTTCAAAGACATTTGTATAACTGCAGAAGAATATGACATTCTGGAAATTCATAACATTTATTAAAGTTACAAAGCCATCACAGCATCAGTACCAGACTACTGAATATATTTACTAAATGTTGTGAATTACTCCAGCAGTGAATTCACACAAAAATATTAACATTCAAAGGCGTCCATTATTCATTAGGACAAGCCATCGAGTACGATGAGGCTGCAAGTGAAACGACCAGACCTTCAGCTGAGAACAGTAAGAATCCCTGGAGAGAATCTGCTTTGCCACTAAGTACAATTCCCAACAAAATTTCTTGCAGGTTCTATTTCCAACTGAGAAGCTATGACAGAGAATTTTCCTCAGACTTTGTTCTTATGGAGCTGTATAGACACAACCTGACAGATATGTTTCTTTTTAAAGATAATCAGTGGGTCAGACAACTATAATTTCAATCCAGCAGGTTGCCAAAGGAGCAGATACAGCCTGACAAAGCAGTGATGCCCCAAATTTGGCTAAATGCCAGTGCTACACACTACTTTAATGGTATTACAAAAGTACTGTTCAACTGGATAAAAGCGAAACAAAAAGAATCTGCTGTTAATTTGATTGGAAAAAAGGCAAAAAAAAAAAAAATACTTTGAGGAATAAAAGAAAAGATAAAGACAGATGTCAGATTAGAAAAACTGTGGATAAACATAAGATATTACAACCTCCAGGAACCCATAAGATGAAAGATGAGAACAACAGATACTTAAGACAAAGACAGCAATGTTTTTACAATAAAACAAAAAAGTATACAAGGGCTAAGCCACCAGATGTCATCTATCATTCTTCAGTGGCAGACAGTCCAATTCAACAAAAGCATATTGGCTCAGTAAAAATGGAGAAAGTTTAAGCACTAAGAAAATGCTCAGTAGAGCCCTGGCTGGTTTGGCTCAGCGGTTAGAGCGTCGGCCTGCGGTCCGGAGAGACCCGGGTTCGGTTCCCACTAAGGGCACGTACTTCGGTTGCAGTTTGTCCCCGGCCCTGGTTGGTCGTGCGGGTGGCAGCCACTCGATGTGTCCCTTCACGTCGATGTTTCTCTCTCTCCCTCCCACTCTATCTGTACAAAATATGGAAAAATATCCTCAGGTGAGGATTAAAAAAAAAAAGAAAATGCTCAGTAGAAAGTATGACTGCACCCCTCCCCCCCAAAAACAGGCATAGTGTTTTAGCCATTCATGAGATGATTAAAAATTTTGTTTTATGAAATATGGCCCCTAAAAAATATATAACTATTAAGGTTGGAGAAATATCACTATTAAATGAAGAAATATTAGTTATTTAAGACAGATAAGTCATATATATAATATATTTAAGGGTCTGATGGGGTCAGTTAAATCTTTCAGTTATATGTGAGCTGTACTTTATATAGTTAAACATGTGCTATGGTGATATTCAGGAATTTGGGAATTGCTAAGGGTCGATACTGTCTAGTAATTATTTGTTTGATTATACTTTATTTACTTCACAGTGTCTGGCTCAAGTAAAGTGCTCAGTAAACATTTGCCATATGAATAAAAAAAGGCTTTATTTCAAGAATGATCAGGGAGATGAAAATTACAGTCACAAGGAGAAATTGTTTTTCACCCAGCTTATTGAAAAAATAGTATTACCTAATGCAGATAGAAAAAGGGGCCCACTCATACATCAATGATGTCATGTGAACTGCTTCAGCCTTTCTGGAAAGCTATATAGGAATATCTATTAAAATTTAAGATGTACACATCCATTGCAGCAATAACCTCAAAACTGGAACTCTCACCCACAGAAATAAAAGCATCAGTACCTAAGAACTATACCAGGATGTTTACTGAACATTTTATTAGTGGGAAGAAAATGCAAACAAGGCCAATTCCCATCAATGGTTTAATTAACTTTGATACACTCACACAGAATATTAGACTGCAGCTAGATTCTAATAGGTGATTTGGAGTAATTTCTACTACTTACTATATATGTAAGTTAGAGAAGCAAAATATACAATGAGATCCATTTTTTTTTAAAAGTATGCATATGCATGCATGTCTGTATACGACTAAAAGAACAGAGAGAAAGACATAGAAGATACATAGGTTCAAGAGTTCTAGGCAGGGAAAGTTAGCAACTGCACACATGCCCTCACACTAAGTGTCTACAAATAAAACTATTGTAATATTCTGCATGCTATAATCCCTTTTATAGATAATTGTGTGTACAACTCAAAAGAGATACAAGAAAATGTAACTTTCAGAATATTTTCCAATAAGAAATAATAAAAACAGAAGTTGATGATAAATGGACAGATTGGTTGACTTAGGCTAAAATATTTAAAAGACAAAAATGATAGTACTCTTTTTCAACATAGTTTTTATATCACAGTCTGTGACTTTACAATATTTGGTAATGTTTCCTTTCCCTACTTGAAATATTTTCCTGTTTTCCATGACACCACACTGTTTTCTCCGTTCTGCTCATTCTCAATCTATTGGGGACTCTCATTCCTTGACTGTTCGTACTTCAGGGCCCTGTCCCTGAAGCTTATTCCTCACTCAGTACACCCTCCCTAGGTGACCTAATTCATTTCCAAGGCCTCAATTACCACCCACAAGGTAACAGAGGACTTGTAAATCCGCTTTCTTCTTGAACTAGATTGACTTTCTTATCTATGGGCCTACTGTAAATCTCTCCTAGGACACCCCACAGATGCGTGAAACACAAGTATACCCCAAACTAAACTCGTTTTCTTCCCTCTCACATCTGGTCCTCCTTTTCAGATCCCATTTCGGTGAATGTCGTCACCCAACCATGCGGGAAGGCAGCTTCCCACCGACCTCGGGATTAATGAAATGTGCAAGTTCTGGTCTCCATCTTTCCGTACACAAAGTTTGGGGACTATTAGGAAAACAGACACTGCACAGATGCAAGACACTTTAAAAAGTCACTATCTATCCTCTCCACGGGGTGACTTTCTCCACTCCGTTCCGCTCCCGCGGCGCGGGCGGGCCCGGCCCCACACCACACCTTCGCGGGGACAGCCAGTCAAGAGAGGGGTCGCTCTAGTCCCGCCTGCAGGTACCTTAACCCTTCACTGCACCCCGCGAAACCCAGAAACAACCTCTAGAGTGGCCGCTGAAAACCAATACCCACTTCTCCTCTCTCAACCTCACAACTCTCCTAAGTACGTGAGACCCTCGGGATCCGTCTGAGGGCACGTTGACGGCAGGGGAAGTGGCGGCGCTTGCTCCATATCCTCGCACTACAGGACCAGCAGTCCCACTTCTCCCAGGCCTTACCTGGGGTCCGGAAATTGTTTGCAACTCTGCGGCCGCGGCATTCCAGAGGACTCGTCTCCGGGCCAGGCTAACCCTCCCGCCAAGAAACAGCCGGTGGGAAACTGCGGCGCCGCAGGACACACAGGAGGCCGCCATCTTGGCTGTGGGAAGCCCGGGCTGGGGGGCGGGAGGCGGGGCCTGGGGACTGCGCAGGCGTCGGTGGGCCGGGTTCCGAGGTGCTCGTGAAGAAGCCCCGCGAGTTTGAAACAGGGGGCGTGTCCTGCAGCCCAAGGTGGCTGATAGGGTGCGAGAGCCCGGGGGCGTGTCCGGCTCCACCCCCTGGCCCGCATTGACAGCTGTCTGGAGAGGCGTTGGGTCATTCATCTTGGCCACTTTTCTCTTCTGCGCCTCTTGAATTAAATAGCTCTCCGCGTCTCCCTGGTGCTCACTGACTTCCACGTGACGATAACCGACCCTTCCTGCACGTCCGCCGCTGCACCTGCTCCCCCGGCTCTCCCCGAACCGCGGAGCCTCGCGCCGGCCGCACCGCCCGGTCGTTCCCACGCTCCTCTTCCTCACGCGAGAATGGACTCCAAGTCTTGCTTCCTGTCTGCCTTCCTAGCAAGGGCTTTCCCTCCTCTCTACCTTTCCACATTTTTCAGGGTCCGGGGTCTCCAGCAACTACCAGAGCAGTAGGTTTCAAGGCCTCCACTCTTACGTTATTTTTAACTGTGTAATGCCAACAGGTTAAAGTGAAAACCGGCGAGGAAGAAACGCTGTCTTAACTCATCTTTGCACGTCATTCCCCGTAGTGTTAGTACTGAGCCTGAGGTGTTAGAGATGAATATGCTTTGCCTTCTGAGACGTGTGTCCTCCTGACAGTAACTCCCAGGTTGATACACCGAATACATATTAAATGATGTAGTAAACAGTTTTGAAAACATTTCCAAACACTTAGATTTGAAGGGTCAGTACAATTAAAACACACAGAAAATCTGAGGTCATACAAAGTTGTCAAGCAAATAAATGCCATCTACTATCACCATCATTTCTTAAAATGCAGAACATTTTAACATTTAATATTGAAAAGGTAGACATCATCTCAGAATAAAGAGCACTCCTTTTAATGAAATGCATTTAGTTGTACAAAAAGCTCACTCTGTTCTCTCTTTTTTCATCTTTTAGGCTAGAGAAACTTTCATCAGAAATTGACAGAGGTTTATGAACTGGCATCTGGGAGCTAAACTTTATAGTTATTAAAATACATGTCTTTATTTTTTAAAATTCAAACATCAGACTTTATGCTCTCTTTTTCTGATCTATTTTATTTGAATTTATTGGAGTGACATTGATTCATAAAACTATATAGGTTTCAAGAGTACAACTCAATAAAACATCATCTGCCTACTGCATCATGCACTCATTGTCCAAAGTCAAGTCTCTTTCTAACCCCTTTGGCCACTTCCACCTACCCCCACCCCCTTTCACTCTGGCTATCACTATACTGTTGTCTGTATCTATTTTATGCGTGCACACACACACAGACACACACACACACACTCCTTTTACCATTTTTCATCCAGCACCCCAAAAGATGTGTTTAAACAGTTCCTATACATTGTAAAAAGTTTTAAACTTAATTGTGGAAATTTAACCAAGTAGAAAACAATCAAGTAAGTATGTAGAAGCAGATTTATACCAATTATTTTTCTATTGGCAACTGAGATATGTTTAAACTAGAAGTCAAAAGGAACAAGAAGTGGTTTGACAACCCTAGTAACAGGCTTCTCGAGTGTGGGATGGACCAGTAGACGAATCTGGCCATTACTCAAGAAACTCAATGTATCAGCTCTGGGAAGGTCAGTGGCTGCCATGCCTGACTCAGCACCAGCCTTATGCAGATTAGTCAGTGATCTTCAAACCTAGCACACTTCCTCCTCTAGTCACCCAGCATGGGCATTCATGCTGCATGAGCTGCTCCAGAAACTCCATTTCATCCAGGATCCAAGGGTCTCTATTCTGCTGACTTCAGTCCGAGGTAATCTGCTGTACAATTCTGTCGTGTTCATGACTGATGCTGTTTCCCATCCATTCAACAGGAGCCATTCTTTCTGAGACTCTAAGGACTTTTAGGTTTCCATCCCCACCAGGTCACACTGCTGTCTCCACAGGTGCCCCAACCGGTCATTCGTGTTCACCTGTTCATAGTTTATGAATGTGACAGCCCCAGAACTATCAGCTGCCCACTTGATTAGGTTTGTAGACTGCTGTGGAGCCTTGTAGACCAGCACACATGCAGTTTCAGCAGTGTCACAAAGTGTGTATTCATGTTACTTTTCTTCAGTTTCTCTTCCAGCTCAGGTCAGTCTTGAAGATCTGCTCCAATTATGGCTTATTTCTTTGAATCTAACGTGTGTCTCTTGGTTTGAAGTGTGTTCTCTGAATGTAATTCTAAAATGGGTTTGATAGGAGAGGCTTGAATTTAATGCTGTGCAGCTTTCTCATGACAATCATTGGAAAGTCAATTTTAAAATATTTACTTGGGAGAAGACCTTGATTCTCTAATAGAAGGTGGTATCCATACCAGCCTCAACATTTATAATTTGACAGTGACATTCTGTCTTCTGTAGAAATGCCTTTGTAAGCTCACCAATGCCATGAACTCAAGCAAATATCTACTGTTAATTTCAGGGGGCTTCCTCTCTTTAGACAGTCCTACAAAGTGCTGGTTGTAAGGGTCATGCCAGTAGCCAATGCTTACTGCAAACCTCCTGCATGTAGACACATCTTCACAGGTGCCACACACCCCCTCTTTGTCTGTTTCTGATGAGGAGGAAGAACAGGAGTTGGAACATGGGCCTCCCCAGGCTAGTGACCATGGGCGTGAAGGTTCCAGGAGTGCTGTGCCCACCTGAGACATAGAGGCAAGGTTGACTGTCCCTGGGGAAAGGCTATACCATTGTTTAAATAAGTATGTTGGAAGGTAGCTGTGCTTTCCACTATACCACCAATGCCAATTAAATAAGTATGTTGAAACATGTAAGTACTGAAATTAGGTTAGGAATGTGGAGGTTTTATTCTTTTTTCCCCCTCTAAAATTCATGCTACAGTCTTTTACTATATTACAGTAGAGAAGATGCAATGTGTTTCCGACTTCTAGGGGCAACACTTGGACTGCTGCATTGCATTTCCTGTGGAGCCTTTGAGTTTGGGAACAAATCCACTGGTATAGGTTGATGTTGGGTACATAATTTGGAGACAGAAGGGATGATTAGAATCAGGAATGTGCTGATAGACATTTAAAATGGGAAAAATCTGTAATTTTACCAAACATTTCATTTTTTTCTCATATAGTGAGCACCCATTATGGCATAGGTATTAAGCATCCTGAGTACCATGATCATCAAATCCCAAAAGTCCAATATGGCAGAGTCATGTCTAATGTGAGGATTTGGCTGTAAAGTCAACTGGTAAGGTAAACATAAGGAGAGTCAGAGTGTTGGGCTAACAACAAGTGTTGCAAAGATATGAGAGAGCAGGAACTGTTAGATGCTGCTGGTGGAAGTATAAATTGGTACAGCCCTCCTGAAATCAACCAACTAATCAATGATCTAAAGTTAAGATGAGCACACCCTACCATCCATCCATTACACTCCTAAGTGTATAAACTAGAAATTCTTGCACAGTGTACCTGGAGACATATACACTTTTTTTTGTAACAACAAATATCTATCTATTGATAAGAGGATGGATGGATAAGAGCACCATAGAGAAATGACAATGAATGAAGCACAACTACATGAATATGGATGAGTTTCACCAGGCGGGGGTAAAACAACCACATATACTTACAATGCTATTTACATAACATTCAAGAACCAGCAAAACCAAGCAAGATATTGTTTAAGGGTTTATGTGTAGTAAAAGGCTAAAGATAAATAAGAGAATGACAAACCCAAACTGCAGGGTCGTGACTGTGCAGGAAGGAGGAAGAGGGATGCCATGCACAGGGCACACGGGGCCGGGCGCTGATTCTCCTGCCAGTGTTCCTTATCGTGGTGTGGCTGGTGATGCACAGGCATTTGTTTTATTACTATTACTGAACTTCTAAACATATATTACAGATGCACACAACAGGAAGGGTTCATTTTCATCTCCTATCCCGCCCCGACTCACATGGAAAGGGACTGGAAATTGGTACAATTGTTACGTCATTTTTCTGTGCTTCTCCTATCTCGTTTTCTTACTTCTGTGTTCTTTATTATCTTTTACTGATCCCCTACTCTCTCTTTTCCTATCCAGTGTGATAGCTTAGCTACTGAATGAGGTAGTCGCCATAAAACACACACACACCTTGAAAGGATCCCTGGAAAACCTTTCTGTCTCTGCAGAGCTCTGTGGATCAATGTGAAAAATCTTAGCCTAGAAAATACACAGATACTTAATAGATTTTATGAATAACTGAGATCTCCAGGCAACTTTTGATCAAAGATGACCAAACACTGTGTGGTTCAGGTAAAGTGCATAAATGTGGTTAAAAAAATCAGAGTTATTTGAGCCCTGCCACAAGCTCTTTGACGCTTCCTGGTTCCTTTTGTTGGAAAACCTCTATTTCTCATCAGTGTAACAGGGTCCCGGGGTGGAGGTTAGACCAGGGATTAGGAAAAATGTGGTCCATGCAGCAGGGGCAGTACTGGACTGAATTGTGGGTTGAATTGTGTCCCCCAAGTATGTTGAAGTCCTCCCAGTACCTCCCAGTGTGACCTTGCTTGGAAATAAGGTCTTTAGAGAGGTAATCAGGTTAAAATGATATCATTAGGGTGGGTCCCAATTCAATATGACAATGGTACTTTTATAAAATGGATGTAGGGACACAAGTACAGAGGAGAAGCAATGTAAAGACACAGAGAGAACAGGGGCGTCTACAAGCCATGGACCACCCGCGGCCACCAGAGCAAGGAAAGAGCTGGAACAAATTCTCCTCACAGGCCTCAGGGGAAACCAGCCCTACTGACACCTTGCCCCTGAGCTGTGAGACCATACATTTTTGTTGTTTAATCCCTCCAGTTAATGGGATTTTCTTAAGCACTTTCAGGAACACACCAGTGTATTGGTTCTAAAATGTACACAAGTTTTTGCTACTCCTTCCTTCCAGAGGAGGA